TCAAAACTCAGGGCGTAGCCAGAACACTGGAAACTTGTATGACTGCTTGTTTCCAAAGTAACCAATGGGCATTTTTGAGGTATTATTGTGCAGGTCGTCTACTTCTGAATCAGGAAGATGCCATAGCCACAGTTTAGAGCTACAGCGCTTTAACTGGCTGAAAGACCTGGAAAGATCCCCTGACCCTCAGGGCAGAAAAATATCAAATGAGCAGGCTCATTTTACAACTGGATAATGAGAGGAAATAGTGCTGGCACAGTTTAATTCAGACTTCCTTCTCTTTATAAATGGTCTAATCTAGATATATGGGTAATTGGCTGGTTGAGTGAGTGCAGAGATTTGGACTGTGGTATTGTGCCAGTGGCCCAGGTCTCAGGTTGCAGCAGGAGATGGATGAATGAGCTTCCTGTCATTGTGAGTGTGCAGAGCCTCAGGCTCCAAACAAACACTCATCCATTCATGATAAGTCTACCAAGAACAAAGACTGGATAGGGCACCCCACACCCAATACATGGTGCTCATATAGCAATAGAAGGGAAACAAAAACCAACAAAAATCAATGGCTTAGAGCTTTTTGACTAGTAAACTTACAATTTCCACAACTCTTGATTACATATCCAAATGCGGTTTCTTTAAATTTAGAAAAAGGACTAAATTCTGCACAATATCTGACTGATGTAACACTCAAATTATAAATAATATAAAGTTTATTCAAAACACTTTATTTGTCCCTCAAATGGCAACACGTTCTCACTCCCAACTCGCTTCACAATTTGACACTATAGGTATCCCTCTAGCATAATTTCTGCACATGCACTGGATAGATAGATAGATACATAGATAGATAGATACATAGATAGATAGATAGATTAGTAGGTCAGTATAGTTCGACTTTCATAATAAAGCTTGCGTAGTTAATGTTGTGAAATGGACGTAGTGCAGTTAGGTTTAGCCACAAAAACTACTTCCTAAGGTTGAGGAAAATATTGTAAGTGATATTAAATATCTGACTTAACTAAACTAATTAAAGGACCAGTGTGCAGGGTTAAACGGCATCTGGCAATGAAGTTGCAGATTGCGACTATCACTGCTCGAGAACCGGCTGTAAAGAATGTAGGAGAAACTATAGTGGCCACAAAAAAGCAAATTTCCTATCTACAACCAGTGTTTGGTTTGTCTGTTTTGTCTGTTCGGGGCTACTGTAGAAACATGGTGGTTCAACATGGTGGACTCCATACAAGGCGACCCATGGCGTCTGCAGATAATAACAGCCCATTCTAAGATAACAAAAACTCAATTTCTTACAATACATGCTCCTAAATGTTGGACCTTTAAGGACATGAATAAAACATAATTACGTAATGTACCTGATGTAAGTTCACAGCCTCAGGTAAGGGATTTCACGAGAACCAATACTTCGGTACCAAGTTAATGCAAAGTTCTTAAAACATGACTGTACTTGTTTTCTACAGCGGGCAGCGATGTACCATGTTCAACACCACAAAGGCACATAAATGTATCATGTTTTACATACTTACTGAAATATTAAAAACTAACATCCTGTTTTGCAACTGCTTGTATTCTGTTTATTAGGCCAATTGTATATTTCATAAAAATGTAGTCATTTCTTATGAATTACATGGAAGACAAGGCAGATGGCCTCCAATATAAAACACTGAGGGAAGCCCTGATGTATCTGCAAAAGTTCACTGTCAACATATTTTATTTGTTTACTTACGCTATCTGCAAGTGCAATAAATGTATGATTATGGATATTTTTACACAATGTCAGGCATTTGGCTGGGGTTAAGTAAAGATTGTAGTTAAATAATAAAAAAGGGCAACACTGACTCGACAAGAGAAAGCATGTTTACTTTTTAACACAGTATTTAACCAAAGCCATCTCTCCCTAACCTCCTCTGAAGCACTTTCAGATAAAATACGTTTTGGAAAGAAGAGGAATTTTATCTATGTTTATAAAGGACTCATGAGACACACAGGAGGTAAACCCTTAATGTAAGGACTAAATGGAAAACATGTCAAATACGGGGTTTGGAGGATTATGGAGAGAAACACATATTTTGTTAAAGCTCTCAGTTATCCTCCGGTTATTGTTACTGCAAATTGTTCCAGATCCATATACCTCCAAAACATTTGTTTTAGGTATTCAGAATATTGTCCTCACCGCCAGACTGACTCCGAAGAATTAGTTGGTGGTGGGGACAGGCACTGTGTAATACAGTCTGGCATCTAATTGTATTTTCTCCTCAACATTAAAAATAAAAATATATTGTATGTACACATGTGATGCTAAGACAGCTTAGGAGGTCAAACAGGTCAATCCAACAGTCGGATTTCTGGACAGGAGTTAATCGTATCATTATTTACTGTGTGAGAAAGCTTTAATTTTTGTCAGAAACAGAAGAACCAACAATCACAACACTGGTTTATTCAAAATAAACCCTTAATTCACAGAGTTAGATGTGAAAATATTGATGAAAAGGGCTGCAATGGCTGCAATGTAAGCTAACATTATTCACTGGGGACAAATGTGCCTGTTTAACCATGTCCACTAAAAGATGCTGTCTTTGCCACTGTCAGGCTCAGACTGTGTTTGACAGCATTATGGAAATTATCCCTACAGAGATAGACCTTTTGTTTAACCAGAAACAGCTGTAATACTAGCATCACTCGCAACCAGACTTCATAGACAAAAAAAGTTATTTTACCTTGCATAACATTGTAGCATTATTCAGAGTGTTCAGAAACCTTTAGTTCACCGAGGTAGATATGAAAGAACAGCAGTTTCAGTCACTTAACCAACCCACTTACACAGACCAGCATCTTAACTTGATACTTCAGGCTACTGCAGACAGTAAGTTACACATGACCCATCATTTGCTCAGCCAAAGCTACTCTATGAGTGGAGGGAACTAGAAATATCTCTTGTCGCAAAGTTGTAAATAAGGTTTGTTCTATTTTCTGGAGTAGTGAACAATGTTTTCATTGCATAAGAACCTTATGGAATGGTAATGATTTTTCCAGGTATTAGTCAAGCCCACAGTTATTACCAGGGAAACGAAGTTATGGCTTGTTAAAAACTTAAGATTTTGATGGATGCATGAAAATGTGAGTGAATGTGTCAGTGGTCTATCAGGAATTAATATAAGACAGAGAGACCATAAATATTTTTGATGATGTATGCTTGCACGTTTGTTATCATTTGTTTTATGTATGTAAATCAAACAACAAATTGACATTCACTAAACCTTGGGCAATACAAAAGCTGGTTGGTTTCTGAGCATCTAAACCAAAGAGGTTTTGGGAACATTTGGGGGGCTCAATGGGGGCCAACAACTTACTTTTGCCCTGGTGCCTCCTAGCTAATCTGGCGCTGATAAAATGTTGGAATATACATTTCAAAAGCAGTTAAAACTGCTGGTAACCTGTTTTTTTTTTTTAAACCTGTTTCCATTGGTTACTATTGCTGCTGCACTCTCTAATGTAGACTGTGGTCTCAGACCCAAACTTCAGCTAGCCAGTGAAACCATTTCCTACTATGGTTTTGGCTCATTTACTCTATTTCTCTTAAGTGCCCTAGAGTGTCTCAAATTGCTCAATCTGAATTGAGAAAATTCTTAAATAAACAGTTTATTTAGGAAATGCCTGTGTGCACCCACACAATAACAGACTGAGTGCAAATGAACGTAGTATACAGACAAAAGGAAAGTGAGGCATTAAATATTTGGACTGAAAAAAAAAAAAGACGTAGCATGGAAAAAACTATGGAGGTACAGGGATAAAAAAATAAATAAAAATGTAGAGCTGCTTGCCCGTGCTGCAGGGCTGCAGGTCTGGTGTGAAGCCAGCCTGGCTCAATCTGTGTTTTTCTCTCTCCTCTCTACGGGCTGCGGCAGGGTTTCTCCTCACCAGAGGTAATGATGGCCTCATTTTTGGCCGAGATTTGGAAGGAAAAGGAAATTCTATGGCCGTCCTCTGAGAGGTGGTTATATTACTGGGACGCCACTAATAAAGGCTGGTGCCGGCCTGGGATTCCACGTCTTGCTCTCCCTCTCCTTTCTTCCCCTCTGAAGTCTCTCATTCCAGCTCTCCATTTCTTTCTCTCAGAGAAGGGCTGCAGTATTTGGGGCTCATCGGGAAGCACATCCATCTCCAATTGAGAAGACAAAATAAATAGGTCTTTGTCTGTTTTTGCTGAATGTCACAGAATGCTACTTGCGCTATGATTCGACCCCCCTTGACAGCTGTTCTGTATAAATCACAACAGTCACACTGCAGATTGTTCACTTCCCAAGCCTGTGATGAAGCTGCCAGCCACACTCTGGCAGAGTTTCCTGATCAGGCCTCACACAGTGTTAATACCCACACAATCCATCTCCCTCCATCCAAGTTCTCCCCGCTCAGCCAAAAACGATATCTGAGAGATAAAGCTTTCTGAAGGAGGCAGGCTTTGCCCTCGTCTCATCTCAGGCTGGTGCACATGGTGGTGTTAAATCTCAGTCTACAGAGATGCTACAGAGCGTCTGCATCACAAATGATCTATCAACGTTATTGAGATCAGAGAACTGACTGCATGCACTTAATCACTGAATAGTGTGATAAAACTGAAATGAAAAAAAATTTACTCTATGTCCATCTCTCTTTTTTCCCGGAGCTTTCAACTAAATGAAGTTTTGTGCTTGTGCTCTAAATACAGTACATCAAAAACATATAGAGATATCTGAAAAAAACCTACAGTATGATAGAAAGAAATAATGATATATGTAGTAGGGCTTCACCTAACAATTTATTATCGAGAAATAGTAACAAAGTAAAAAAAGGCCACGGTCTTCAAAAGGCTTGTTTTGTCCGACTAACTGTCCATAACCCAAAGATATTCCATTTTCATTGAAATACAAACTGAAAAAACCGTAAATCCTCTCAATTGAGAGGCATGTTGCAGTGAACATTGGGATTGGCTCACGCAAATCTCGTGGGAGCGGGTGGTTTTGACTTTGAACTGGGTGGGAGCAGGCGGTCAAAAAATAAACAGTGGGTCCTGGGATTCATCTCGTAGCCACTAAATGGAAACACACTCGACAAATGAAGCTGAAAAGAAGAATACATTTCATAAATAATAATTTAAAGAAGGGCAAGTCTGACATTTTCAGTTGTTACTAACAGTAAAATAACGTCAGAAATCCAGGTGCAGGGTTTTAGTCTGTTGCAGAGAATTTGGGCATTTTTACTTTATAATAAATACATTTCAGAACTGATATTTAGTAAATGTTTATTTGAATAACATATTTGCTTTCAAATGTGACTGTGACACTAAGCTTAGCTCTTGTCCATAAAACACAGAAGAATCAGCACAGTCTTCTACTACCACTACTACTACTACTACTACTATTACTATTACTACTACTATTATTATTATTATTATTATCATTATCATTATCATTATTATCATCATCATCATCATCATTAGAACCTTTCAGTCAGGGGATTGAAACACATTTTGGAGGTGTATAAATAAAGTTATTACAATACTTTGGAAACGCATGATATTCATTTCTCATCAATGAATGAGAGAAAAATATACCATTAACTCTCAAACTGATAATTCAGTCTAAACAAATTTTACTTTTCTGTTTTCCATAAAATGCCCCAATGTCAACAGAAACCATGCTGAAGAGCAATGTCCTGTCCTGTGTGTTACATCAATATCGAAGTCCACAATGTCATCAACACTCAATACAACCACATGAATGACCTCTGAAACACGAGCCAAAGACTACAATATGTCCTAGAGAGAGCAAACAATCGATTGCTAAGTTAATGTTCTGCAGATAAATGTAATATTCGGTCCATTGCTGGAAGCTTTTATAAAAACGCCCAACAACAGACTCATTTTTTATTTTAAAAAATGTTTTAATGCATAATGCAATGTTTTTGAGTTCATAAATCTTCATTTCGGGGCTTTTCCAAACAAGTATTTATATATGTGATTGTTTGTGATTAAATTAGCATATATATCTACCACCCCATGAATATTACTCTAGGTCCACCCTGGATTTTGGGCATAGTTAATTTGCCCCAGGGAAAATGTTGTAACGCATAATGTTAACATGGAACAACTGGACACCACTCACACTAACTTCTGCCAGATATAGACCTCCATCCCATCTATCTAACTGTCTGCTTGTGTCTGTTTTTGTGTGTGTGGAGGGCTCTGTTGTTTCCTGCAGGTATTACAGTATGCTTTTACCTTGCCACTCCCAGTCAGCACAGGACAACCTCATCAGCGCTCCCTGTGACTCCGGCCTCCCTGTGACTCCGGCCCAGCTGCTCCTCCATTGCTAATCGGCTCCAATTAGAGCCTGAAGTGGTTCTGACATCTAGAAGGAAGAAAAGACACAAGAAAGACTCAATGGGTACATCCCAAGTCTACTGTTTGATATTTCCTAGTTCCTCCTCGCTTTTTACATCATTTATTGTCATTTCTATGCAGTCACATTAGGCTGATAATTCCTGACCATTGGGCTTGATATAAGTTACACAATTTAAATTTCCCCCGAAACATTTAGCCTAATAATAATTTCCAATATTCAAAAGACCCCATAATTATATTCTGGGTCATTCAATAATGAATTCACAATCACAAAATTAATGAATATAGATGCAAATAATAAAGAAATAAAAACATTCTGCATTGCTTCATAAGTAATTCTCTAAAACATATTTCGTATCTCCTTCTCCTTGTTTCCTTGGATGCAATTAAGAGACACGTTGCACCCGATATGAAAGCAGTGTCTTGATATATCAGTTTATCATGTTTTTATGGGAAACATGAAAGCAAACAAATGGCTTTCTCCATCTTCAGCAAAAACTATTTGGCCAAATAGTGGTCCAATAGTCTCTTTACCTTTTTTCTTTCATTTCAGCCCGTTTTAAACAAAAGCTCCTTTGTGTTTTACCAGTCTTTTCTTTATCTGGCTTTCTAGCATTTTGCACCAGGAAGGTTTCTGTCCAATCAGCTTGTGTGAGCTCATAATCAATATCATAAACGTGCAATGTCTAGTTGACTATTGGTTTTAACTAACAATCTCTAGTTGACTAAGAAAATCTTTAGTCAGGGATAGCCCTACAAGATGCACAGAGCTTCAGACAGGACTATTGAGCAGTACTACATGTACATTTGCTTTAATGGAAATATGATAATGCTTTGATGAGTGTTGAGGGTAACAGGCCTGAAATCTTTATTACTTTTTAAAATCTTTTTTTTAAAGTAACATTGGGAGAGGCCAAACTGAGAAACACAAAACTTCCTAGACAAACTTTCCCAAGGGATCACAAAAGAGGGTAACTACAGTGCAGAGTTTGATTCCATCTTATGATAGGAGCGCACCAGGGTAATGCGGCTTGTCATCACCAAAAGGTTTTAAATAGGCTGCTAAAAATGTCTGGCCCATCTACATTTCCTGGTTTTAAAATCTGGCCCAGTTGAATTTGTAATTGAATAGCCCTTCTCTAAACCATTGTACTGGAAAACAAATCTGTCTGGGAGGTTGTTGATACAAATCACTAGACAGCTGAGAAAATTGGGTGTGAGAATAACGGCCTCTTTTCCATACTGTACATAACTAGTGCCAAAACAACAAGTGTTGTACTGGTTGTACTGTGCAGCTCCAGCAGTTGAGATGTGTTGATCAACTGTATGAATATGAGGCAGGGTATAAAAAAAAGAAGCTTTTAAAAATCTAAAGCATGACTCATGAAAGAATACATTACATTAAAAACGCATGATACCACTGTATATGCATTATACAGCAACATATAATTCTATTTTTTGGTCATAATTATGAACTCACAATGCAATACTCATAACAGTTCCTCACACTGTAAAAGATTAAACACAAAGCTTGATACAGACGTGAACTGTCTGCTGTGAGATCACATGTATGATCCCACACTCCATTTTGGGTACGGAGCATTGTTACGGAATGAGTCATTTAGCAAGGTCTAACCCCCACCAACATGGTTCTCATTACCCTCGCCATAGCCTTGAGTGTGCTGACATAAACCCCCCTGCTCCTCCCCTTTGGCAACACACAGACACAGACACACACACACAAACAGAGAGTGCTGCAGTGTGGATATTTATACCCAGGTCTGTGTTTCCCATTAGGACGGCTCTGCCTCTGTCTCTGCTCTAGCACAAAGAGCTCACTGGAGGAAAATGGAACTCTGGGTTCAGTCACCTCACAGACAGTTCCCTACAGTCCCAGCACTTGTTATGAAGCACCAATGATCAACATCATTTATTCAATAACTTTGTGTGGTGTGCAGGATAAAAGAGTTAACTTAGCTGTGTATTAATGATATAGTGTTAGATAAAAGAAAGGTAATGATAAAACAAACTGCTGTAAGTTGCATACTATGAGTATCAAGACATACTGAATTTAACAAAAACCAAATATGATTTTCAATTTCTCTAAATAGTCCTTTATTTGCAGATATTTTTAATATCTACAGTCACTGTAGGTATTTTATTATCTCCTCACCTTTTCATTATTCTCCACACGATGAGCCGGTGCCGGTCTACACTCCTAAATCTTAACAATGTGGACCAATGTGTGTCAGCAAGCTAATGGTTCATCCAACTCCTGTAGCAAGGTTGGTTCAAACCTGAGAAGGAAAACATAAACGGTATACAGGCAGTACGTTTTTAAAAGTACAAGTATAGAAAATATCTGCCAGCCCAATCAGAACCAGTCAACACAAAACAGTTCTAATAACAATATACATTACAGATACAACTGAACTGTTTACATATGAATCAGGTCAAAAGGATTTCAGGGAGAAAGAGAGAAGGCAACCATTTCAGACAGCCAACATCAGTCACTACTATTAGTGTAGTTGTTGCTACTGTTGTTGCTGTGCACCTGTCTGTCTGTCTGTCTGTCTCTCTCTCTGTCTGTCTCTCACCCCAACTGGTCGAGACGGACGACCACCCACCTAGAGCCGAAGGATCTGTCCTAGGTTTCTACCTTTTAACAAGCAGTTTTTCCTTGCCCCCGTCGCCAAGTGCTTGCTCATGGTGGTACTGTTGGGCCTCTGTAAATAATGTTATAAAGAGTTCGGTCTAGACCTGCTCTATTTGAAAAGTGTCCTGAGATAACTTCTGTTATGAACTGGCGCTATACAAATAAAATTGAATTGAATTGAATTGAATTATTTCAGACAACTCAAAAGTGGAAATGGGCCAATCAAACCAAAAAACTTTATTTATCTTAGGAACTCCATTTGTGTAAAGGCATCAGTACATATACAACACATAACCAGACAGACAAATGTTTAAAATGCTACCACCAGTAGTGTTGCTATTGACCTGCAACAAAATGGAAGGGTTAAAGCAAGTAATTACAAGTAATTCTTATGGATAATGGGATCTGTACTGACACAAGTAGAGCACTGAGGACCAATACAGTACTGTAACACCATATTTGATAAACTCTCTTTCTCACTGCCCTTTACAGTATTTCACTGTTGCTTTCAATATGCAAAACTCTTCATGTAAAGAGCAAAACTGACTGACATTAAATTCTTCCCATTAAATACAAAATGCTGTCCTTTCATAAGAAGATATGCTCAGAATACACACCTCATATAACTAAACATACAGGCCACTAAACCACTGAAATACAACACTTATTCCAACATTTCTGAGGTAAACAGCATTGAAACATATGAAACAATGCAACACATACCTTTCATTTACATCGAAATGTTGTGATCTATTGAGTTTCTGTCACAGTAAGCGGTGCACATTTAACATGATTAAACTTACTAGTTAAATATATTTGACATATGTCATACCTCCAGTTAAACCACAACATTTTTGTACAGAACATAAAAAGTAAACTTCACTGACTGAGTGAACTACTGGGAAACATCTAGATTTTAGTATAAAAGATTCATTTAAAAATAGACCGACATCAGTTACCTTCATCTTCTTCTTAAACCTCCATAGTTCTGCTCAGTGGTCCCTCTATATGGTCTTGCTAATGCACACACAAAAAAATTTAAAAAAATGTTAAACTGATTAAATCAAATATTTTAAGTAACTAACTTACTCAAATTTTTTCAGGTAAAAAACCTTCTAGCTCAAGTAGCTTTATTAATTTTAAGTGGCATCGACTTAATTTTGTCATTTTTATTTGTACTGTGAAAACAAAACACCTAGTAAAAGGGATTCCTCAGGTATGTATTTGTAACTTACAAAATTAAGCTAGTTTGTGTAACTTAAAATGTTCAATGAAATCTGTTCCTATTGTTTTTAGTTAATATAACTTGCATTTAAATTGCATTACAACTAATGGAAGCTGCATTCTGGGGCACCCTGGTGGCCTAGGGGTTATCATGAGCTGTAACGCCCCCTGTTTCAAATCAAGCCAAGGCCATTTGTTGTATGCCATCGTCTCTGGTTACTGTGAACCCATAGTCTATATGGAACCGCTGCAATATGAACACCAGTTGATTTGAACCATTAACTGTCTCTTTCTGTCCATCACAGAGACAGTATTGCTCCCCCCGTTGTACCTCTTGAAAGCATGAAACTGTAGCTTTACTGCTCAGTCCTTTCTTCTCCTCGTGGCTCTTTAAGAAACAGTCAAGGTTGAGAACAGACGGCTTCCATTAGGGAATTTCATGCTTGCATAGTTTCATTCACCTCAGCCTTAGACACAGAAAGAACAGGCACACAAAAATTGAATTTGATAGGTTTCCTCTCTTCAGTGTTCTTCCTTTTTTTTTTCCCCTCTGGGGAGCAGTTAAGTCAGCATCGAACAACTGACTCTTTGACTTTATCTCTCTCATATATATATATATATATATATATAGCTAGCTAGCATGTGGCTGATCGGCGTCATTGCGTGTTTTTTAGAGTAATGTGTACATGTTTAAAACTTTCATTTTGCTGAATTAGAGGGTAGAAACTGAATCTGTAAAGAATGGGAGCCCCTTTCTTGTACCACAGTGCTCCCACTGCTCTTTGCGGCTATAATAAAGGCACTTCTGTCAGTAAGGGATGTCAGGAAGACGGATGTTTACCGAAGATTTGAGGTTGCAGGAAATAAAGAGGTTTTATGAACTGAATGCAATTAAAGATAACCTCAAAGAGCTGCTGACATGCAAATGAATTTAACTGAAGCCCGTAAAATATAAGATCCACTAAATCTGTTTCATAAAGGATCCACGTACAGAATGGATTTGAGCACTGGGGGCAGTACTGTAGGTTGAAGAGCTGAATCAGCAGCGGAGGTTCCTGGCTGATGACAGGAGCAAACATTTATGGAACATGCTTGTAAATTACATCTAAAAAAAACAAACAAACAAATGCATAAATTGGACGGCAAACTGAGAATCCGGTAAATGTCTAAACCACATGCATATGAAACATACACAGGAAGTCACATCACATTTTCACATCCAAGCTGAAGTGGGACTGAAATTGAGGAGGAACCTCACTTAAAGGTCCAGTGTGTAACATTTAGGAGGATCTATTGTCAGAAATGGAATATTATTCTCATAGGTATGTTTCCATTAGTGTATAACCACCTGAAAATAAGAATTGTTAACTTAGAATGAACCATTTTTATCTACAGAGGGAGAGGGTCCTTTTCTATGGAGTCCGCCATGTTGAACCACCATGTTTCTACAGTAGCCCAGAGAGGGCAAACCAAACACTGCCCCTAGATAGGGCCTTTCACGTTTTTTTTGCAGGTTTCGCTTGGAAGGTAAGCAGTATTTAGTTACCTTGAAAGAACATCGGACATGGCATTGACTTTGCATCTGTGACACGGTTTAGCTCTGTACAGAGTGTCTTTTGAAAATTAACCAGATTTGTATGCTGTGTCTGTGTCTGACCACATGAGTGGGTTGTGGTTTCCATCAAAAACAGACCAGCTGCGTATTCTCCACGAAGCAGAGCGGAGAGACACTTCTGGGATGAGCTGCAGAGCATTGTCTAGAGAGGGTGCCCAGTGGAATTTGGGGGTTAGTTGCAATCTGCAAGTTGCAAAAATTGGGAATATTTTAACTTCACTATTATTTCATTGATTAGAAGTTAGCCCAATGACTGAATGTAAGAACTATTCTAAATTACCCTCTACACAATACAGTTATGGAATAACTAAATCTTATCAGACACAGATTCCTGAGACTACATCTTATCAAATACAGGTCTCAGTGTGTTCATTTGAGGGTCCTTGACACCAAAAAGGTTGAGAACCACTGGTCTGAAACATGTAGGCAGTGTCCCATTTTATCTGAGCAGGGTCATATTTCACCCACAGAAATAACAAATGCTGCTTTAAATAAACTGCACGCAGCAGCTGCGGCAAGGTTCTGAAGGTGCCCAGTGCAGACATGACAGCAGCGCAGTAATTGAAGTTCTCATGAACTGTGGATTCGACTCTGCGGTTTCATGTAGACTGAAGAAGAAAGCCACCGCGAGAGCGAGTAGATTGGGCAAATGTGGCGAGTGAAGACACGGGTGGGAGCTGTGAAAGATATTCACACGACGACACCCCCCCCCCCAATCTCCCAAGACACAGTGGCCCCTGTGATTGACACTGCGTTTGGAGCTGCTCCCTCTCTGTCTCTCTAGAGAAAAAAGCTTAACAGTGCGATCCTTGATAAGACCTCACACACTATCATAAACCTTCATTATGATTTGCGCTAAAGAATTGACAACAGTTCCTTAGGGAGAAAGGCATGGCCTTCTCTGTGCTCCCACTGTGTAGTAATCTCTATACTGGTATTAGCACAGAAACACAGCCATATATAGGTTTAGGGATTGAGCAGACCTTATCTAAATTGTAATGCAAATGATATGTGAACACATGCATGTATCTGTTGTCTGTCGGCATGTGGAACCAACAGCCAAGGGAAGGAAAAGGAGATAAAAAGGGAACAAGTGAAAGGCAGTGATCTGACTTGCGCAGCATAGGCAGTGACATTCGTGGGTGTATGAGTGAGAGACAGCTTAAGAAGTATATAAAACAACACATCAGTCATCCACAGGTGGAGACAGGCAGGTGAAGTTCACAGTGTCAGGCAGCATGGTGCCAGCTCATTTGGCGGGATGCTGCTGCTGTAAGAGAGGAGCTGCAGAAACACACTGCTGACCTACAGGCAGTTTGGAATTCAGCAATGAAGAGTAAAATAGAACTGTTTGGAGAAAAAAAAAGAACAGTGGAGGTCCATTTTCCTGAGGCCTGCGGTTCTTATTTATAGCATCTTCTACTCAATGCAACAAGTACCCACACTGTATTCAAAACACAAATAGGTTGTGTGTAGGTCGAGTGAAAAAACATACTGTGAGACTACAAGCTATTTTCACTGGGTATGAAACAGTTTGGTGCCTCTTTATGGCCTACATAAACAATCAAGACCATCAGCGAGAAGACATTCTTAATGCCTGCTACCGGGTAAGATTCCCCTTGACTTCAATTAAATAAACTGGTGGAAACACTACCGCTTTTGTCCAAAGGGGCTGCCAGAATAAACACTAAACGAAAGTTCCTTGTAGGGGCTTTAAAGTTAGGGCAGTTAACATTTAGAGAAACTAGCAAGAGACAGTTAGATTGTGCAGCTAGACACATGAGCACATGGCTTGAAGCTTGCCACCCTGGAGGA